GTAAAGATTCCGCAAGAGGCGTCAAACTTGTAAATCAATCTTCTTATTACTCTTTCTTTTCTATCATTTCTTTGAAGATATTTCTAGAATTATTATATGTTCGACGGATAAAAGCCTTGGGCTTAAGGCAAACATTTCACGCTGAGAAACTGGATTTTTATAATATATTTGATATATAAACTGACACGGTTACATGACAACTGTTTCTCTATGGATTCTTTCAAAAGATAATGGTGAGTTAAAGTAAGTAGAATATCTTGGTCTAGAAGCAATCGTCCAAGTAAGAATCATCCTTCTTCTAGTAGAGAAAAATTTATTTGATTAAAATGGATAATATCATGATATACGCGAATTAAAACAAACGAAATTACAACAAAAAGCTAGCATACATATTATTCCTCTTATTGATGAATTAATGGCACCATTTTCTTCAGCTACGTTTGATTCAAGGTACTTTCGATCGTTAACGTAACTGTTCGTGCATTGATTCATAGTAGTATTGCACATCTAATACAAGTATGTAGATGTCTGAAAACGAAGAAAGATCTTGATGAATGTTAGTATTTGTAGTATACATATAATGAACCATGTGAAATTGGATTATAATATATTTGATATATAAACTGAAATGGCTCCATTACAACTGTTTCTCTATGGATTCTTTCAAAAGATAATGGTGAGTTAAAGTAAGTAGAATATCTTGGTCTAGAAGCAATCGTCCAAGTAAGAATCACCCTTCTTCTAGTAGAGAAAAATTTATTTGGTTAAGATGAGCAATATCATGATACACGCGAATTAAAACAAACGAAATTACAACAAAAAGCTAGCATACATATTATTACTGTTATTAATAAATTAATAGCACCATTTTCTTCTGCTACATTTGATCCAAGATACTTTCGATCGTTGATGGTAACTGTTCATGCATCCATTATTAAAAGAGAAAGAGGATTAGAGTGTACGGAACATTTTTGCTGCTACTATATATATTTTCCTTAGCGCCTATTACCATCTTGTTTGCTAGACGCCCTTCAGTATTCTCCTCACACCGACGTAAAAACAGTAATAGGACCTACGTTAATTGCATTTCTTCTTAAATTTCATTTCATACACGAATCGTCGAAAAGAGTTATGTGAATTTACTGTTCAACTCATTGTAATTGCACTGTGCTCATAGTTAAGTTTAAACTAGCGAGGGAACATATGTAACTGACCAATCGTTTTTTTAATGACATCTAGTGGAGTATAGGTAAAAAATAGTGCTGAATCCGAATACTGGCATGAGACGGGCCGCTAGGCCTTGCGAGTACCGGATTTATGGGAAACCAGCTTTCCAGAGCCAGAAACTTTTAGTTCCAAAACTTTTTTCTAATCTGTCTCGATTGTAGAGCACATCGAGAATATTGTAAAAAACTAGTTTTCAGAATTTTGGAACCCTTCCACAGCCCGCCAGACGGACTTTTCTTCTCTTTTCCGTACGCTGAGGTTTTTTGAGGGAGCAAAAACACTTTAAAAAGCCCCAAAACTAGTTTTTTATAGGTTTCTCGATGTGCTCTACAATCGAGACAGATCAGAAAAAAGTTTTGGAACAAAACGTTTCTGGCTCTGGAAACCTCATTTCTCAGAAATCCGGTACTCGCAAGGCCTAGCGGCCCGTCTCATGCCGATATTCGGATTCAGCACTATTTTTTACCTATACTCCACTAGATTTCATTAAAAAAACGATTGGTCAGTTACATATGTTCCCTCGTAAGTACATAATATACAAATATTGTCTATTTTATTGCCACTTCTCGAGTTCTTCTTTCTATTTTTCTTCTCTTCTGTTTGCAGATTTTACTTATATCTATATTTTATTACTAGGAAGATATATATCTGTTGTTGTTTCTTGTTTTCCGCAAATCTTCTTCATATCTCCTGCAAACCTGGTTTCATGTCTTCTGCAAACCTCGTTTCATGTCGTCTGCAAATCTTGTTTCTCCTCTTCCGCAAATCTTGTTTCATGCCTCCTGCAAACCTTGTTTCATGTCTTCTGCAAACCTGGTTTCTTGTCTTCTGCAAACCTTGTTTCATGTCTTCTGCAAATCTTGTTTCTCCTCTTCCGCAAATCTTGTTTCATGTCTCCTGCAACCCTTGTTTCATGCCTGCAAATCGACATGCTCCCAACGATCGACGAAATTAGGAAGGCTGCTACGAACAGGAAGAATTGGTCCAAAACTTTTGTCACCTGCAAACCTTGTTTTTCTCGTCTTCTGCAAACCTTGTTTCTCGTTTTCTGCAAATCTTGTTTGTGTACTAATGATACACTTTAAGTGTGCCATGGGTTCTAAAGTCCGTGTAGTACACCTTTTGGTAAAACGTGGAAGCGAATCACAAACAAAGAACACACTTAAAATATCTTTTTTTGTTATCCGGAAGTGCCAAAAGCACGGAAAAAGTGTGCTGTTTCTCCCGTACTGGAGATTGAAGGTTGGACTTCTAATGGCACGCTTCGTCCATACCTATCTGAACACTTTTTCCGTGCTTTTCCGTGGCAGTGCCCCCATGTGCGATCAGTGGCAATAAAAGAAATTTTTGCACGGTATATGTGATTACTGTTCACGAAATCAAGATATAAAGAACAAAAATAATGTGGTCTTTACTAAAATCTGGAAGAGTGGAGTAGTGCAGAACAAAAACAATGTATTTTCTTCCTTTTGTTTGTTTCTTTTGTCTTGCACCGTCAAGACTGGCAAGATGAAAGACGTGACTGATAAAAAAAAGAAGTTTTCAACCAATCCTACGCCTTTCCTGCGCTCCATTCCATTCCAGTCTTCCAGTTTTTATTTTTTCAGTAAAGGCCAAAAATAATTTACTTACAAAAAAATATAAAAGCCCACTAAACAGTCGTAGTCAATCTTTTTGAATTGGCAAAAATTAGGCAATAACAAATCATATTATAAGGTGTCGCTTGCTCGTAACCTTTAAAGATTGAAGAGTAGCGCTAGTCTTCTCTTGTTGAGCTTTTTCTCAATTTTGAAAAAAATAGTTGTTAATCCGCAATCTATCTTATTTTTAACTAAAGTAATACAAAATTACTTAATAATAGCTGTACAGAAAACAGAATTAACAACTATTTCGCTTCGATTGGATTTTAAGAACAGAGTGAAAATCAGGTGAAAATATGAAAACAGTAATCGATATTTTTTACTTTTGTGATCCAGAAAAGAGGATCAAAAGGAAGCGGGCCAGAAATATCTTTGATACATTTTGTAGAGCTCAATGAGTACTACAAATGAAAGAAAAACAAAAAAATTCTACTGTGTAGTTTTTGTGCTGTGGGACCTGAAAGTTGACTGTTTTTAAAAAGGGATCTTCAGAGATGGGCTTCGTACTAAGACAGGAAAATAGATATCGACCTTATTCTTTTTTCACTGGATTAATCAGCTCTTTAGCTTCATTTTTATCTATAGTGTAAGAACTTTTTCTTTTGTTTTACCTTCAGAAGAGTTGAAATACTGAGCGCCATTTTTTCATTTTCGGCCATTTTGTGACAGCTGATCTGCCCTTGTAAAAGTGCTAGAACAAGTTTTGAGTATCAATACTGTCTGGGAAGTTTAAATGGTCCACGGAGTCAAATAGCGATGAGAGGGAGATAGAATAAGAGTTCTGATAGAATTACCACCGGTATAAAATCCAAAATTTCAGAAACCGCCTGAAAATGATCGAGTGTCCAAACCAATGAGAGTTTGGACGCAATGGCAGATAGGTGAAGTTAAGAGTTCTAGATTTTTTTAATGTTTAGATTAAATTTATTTTTTACACACCTTTATATATAACATTCAGAAACACTTAGAACGTCAGATGATGCTGGAAAACGGTTAAGGGATTACTAAGCTATTTTTGTCCATTGGTAAAGGAGGTCAGAACAAGTACAGTAAATAAACGATAAATATAGCTGTTGTTTAGATATCAAATTTAATTCATTTATTATATAACACACAATTTCGAAATACATATTACACAAGGAAAGAAATACTACTACTGAATCTTAAATAATTTCAGTTGATTTGGCTCAACCATTTTAAACACTAAATAATCATCACCCATTGAACATATTTTTCTTACGTAACCTTCGCCGCCCCTTTCAAATATCGAATGTTCAATTTGATCACACGTTTCATCTGTTGTTAACCATAACTGTTTACCATGAACGATTAACCACTGGCCATTATGCATGACTGGAGTGACAAATGTTTGATAAAAATTTTGAGTATTGTTATAAGTCGTACAAAGGTCAATACGGCTAAGTAGCGCAAGAAGAGAAGCGTAACTGAAATATGTTTAAAGATCAACAACTTACCGAAATGGTTCCATTTGATAATCGAACATATCAACTCTCCATTGTTCATCTGCACCTTTAATACACATGGCAACATGTTGCAAATCTGATCTAATACATGAAACAATTTGATCATTAGATTGCAATATATCCTCTTTCGGCCAACGAGAAACGAGATCATACGATGGTAAAACATAACGTTCAACATACACACCACAATCGTAAAGTAAGAATAATGTCAAATTTGAACAAGTTAAGGACTGAAAATGGGTATGTTTATCATATGGTTGAAATTGATCAATTTGATTAATCATTTTAAAACATTTACCTAGATTATAAATAAGATTTCACATAGTGACAACAATTAGAAGTTTACTTACAAGTGAGAATTGGCTGTTGATAGGTGAATAATTTTTTATCAGTTAAAATCATAAACAATTGCAAATATTCTGAGTAAGTTAAATCCCAAATAAAGCCATAATTGTCTTTATTCCATGTTGTTTGAAATTGTAGTCTCAATTCTTTATCGTAGAGTACAAGATGATCGGTATGTTCCTGAACGAGGATATATTCATCGGATGATGTTATTCGCCACGACGATGTTTGAAGTGGATATTCTTGAATTGGTATCAACGAATTTAATTTATTTAATGAAAATTTAACATATTCAGGTTTCTTTTCACCAATGGATAACGTTAATTCACCATATAATTTAACATTTTTAACATCAATTTCAATCGATGTTTGCTCATCTAGAATTGAAAGTACACACACGTTGAGCGAGAGTCAAGTTAATACTAATACTGCTTTCTTACTTGTAATAAGATTTTCTTTAATTCTCTTCAATTGTTCGTATAATTCATTGAATTGTTGTGGTTGTAAAAGTGTCTGGTCTAGAATAAGTTGATTTATTTTCGTAGAAAAATCATTGGCATGTTTTACGTAATCAAGCTGTTTTAATTTATTATCCGTTTTCAAATATTCTTCATTGATTTTTTCAATCATTAATGTTCGCCAATTATTTAGTTTTTCTTGACATTTTTCAATCGATGAAGATGACGAGATATATTCAGAACATAATTGATCTGTATGCGATTTAATTTCATTCAATTCTACTTGAACTACAAAAGCGTGAAGTGCAAGGTGACTCATGCATAATGGCAATTGACAATGAAAGCAAACATCCGATGAAGGATCGGCACACTGTTGACAAAGAGATTTTGATAATGACATTTCGCTAATCTATCTATACAAGAATGTAAATTGTGCAGTCAGACCAATTTTGAAATTGAAACGAAATGGATGAAAGACAACTCAGTGCATACTGCTGAGTGCGATGCCAGAGAGACTTTTTCCTTTCTAAGATACTAATGCAAGAGAATCTGCTTAGAATCCAATGATCATCGCCTCCCTCGCGGGAAAAAAAACATCTGTTATCTGAGGAGTTTAATTGGCTCATATTTCAAGCCAATGGTATTCATACTTGAAACGTTTACTACACCCCTCCGTCCTCATATATTTCTTGTTTTTAGACAGATTCCTAGAATTCACATCAACAGTTGGCATAATAATCGTCTTTTAAAAGATTCTGATATATTATATTAGTATCATCTTCAAAACACTCAGTTCTAGAATACAAAAGTGTAGAAGAAGAGAAGAAAAAACTATTCACCTCAGCTTTGACTTTAAGGGTGCAAAGCTCTCCCATTTTAGATTTTTCTCACACTTTCCGAGTTTTTAAAGGATACTTCGAAGTATATGTCCTAAAGTTTATATGCTACCTTAGAAGTTTTAGAATTCAGCTTTGATTACTCAGTAAGTCTGGCTTCTTTCCCACTGCAGAATTGGTCAGGCTTTATGCATTACGTACTTCATCAATTCCAAGAAGATTCTTTCTTGGAAGAGGCAAACAGAATTAAATCTAGTCTATCGTGTGACGCCTGAAATTTTCTGTGAGATGAGGTATTGCTTGAATTGTTCGCTGAGTCGTTATTTGACAAATGTGACTTTAAACTAGTAGAGTAGGCTAAATTAACGTTACCAATTAGTCAATAATAGGAAGGAAAGAACAAAAAATTTTACATATTTTCTCGTAGTACATATTCTTTACACATTTCTCTATCGATCTACGCAAGAACCAAGTTTTTTTAATGAATGGACAACAGACAGGAAATTTTTTAATAATAGTGTGGTGCTAAAAACTTAACATTTTTTAAGTTATTAGTCTTTCTAAGCTAAAAAATGCCAGTAAGTCAAAAAAACTTTGGGATGTATACTTCTAAGTATCCTCAACAAACTGGGATAGTACGAGGAAAAAATTCAAGACCTGAAAATATCGCTAGTTTTTGGCTCAACGACGATTTTTTCTAGAATCAACTCTTCATATGTAAAACTGAAATTTTTAATAAAATTTTAAAAAAATGAGGCAAAAAACCCGAAAAAACTTCAAAAATTCAATTAAAATCAAATTTTAAATTTTTTATTAATCCGATGAATGTGCATCTGTGTAAGTAGAACGGATTTCTTTTCCGCCTTAAAATCCAGATTATAGAATACATGAGCTCTAGTTTCTTTTGCTTCATCAATAACACAAAGAAAGTATAATATAAAAACCAGCATTATCTGACTATATAATCTACAACAATAAATCGTAATATTCACAACATGTTGTGTCTTTACGAAAAAAAAGAAAAATCAATAATACTAATCATGCTTTATAGATCAGACGGTAAAAAGAATAAATCATACGATAAGTCATACTGTCTATAATTCCAATATTTTAATTTCATTTGGTTCAATCATTTTCAGCACAAGAAGTGTATCTCCCATCATCGATGCATTTTGTATTAGTTGCCGCTCTTTTTTCATATCTTTGTGCTCAATTAATTGACCTTGTTCGCTCATTAACCATACTGCTCCACCATTTGTAGTTATAATTAACCATTGATGATCAAATAATGAAGAAACAAACGTACGACCAATGGTATTTTTGAGCAATTGACCACGTTCTAGACGTTTTAGCTCTTTAATAGAAAAGAAAAATACATATCAGTAAAAATCAATATGTATTTGTTCTTACCAAAATCGAACAGATCACATCTCCATTGTTGTTGTTTGTCTTGAATACAAGCCACAAGTTGACTATCATTCTGTCTTAAACATGAAATATACTGATCGTCAAATTCAAATATATCGGACCACCAACGACGAATCATTGAACACGATAGCATTGACCATTTTTCTACATAAGTTTTATTTGACGATGTTTCACTACATAAATAAATATCAGAATTTCTATAACACGTAACAGATTGAAAATGGGTACCTAAACGAAATAAATTAGAAATGCAAACAAATATTCTGACCACTAGAAGCAGAGTTACACTACCTGTGAACGGTTTAATTTGTTCAATTTTTTCTAATGTAAATGTAAATGGATCATATGTATGAAATTCTTGTGCCGATAATATAAAAAAAACTTGTAAATGGTGTGACCAACAGAGATCTTTTATTTTTCCACCATGTATGTCATGTCGCCATTCAAATTCTTTTAATTTCACATCTTTATCAAACAACAACACATGTTCATTATCTTCAATAAGTATATGTTTGTCAGACGTAGCCAGATAGGCAGCGGTTGTCGACATTTTTAAATTATTTAATTCAAATTCTTTTCCTACTGTCGAATTTAATAGTGGTGCTAAATTTGAATTTTCTTTTTGAATTGAACGCAATTGTTTGTATGGTTTTTGTAATTCTAATTGATCTTGTTCTAAATGTAGAATGTCAGAATCTATACTTTAACTAGATCGTGGAGTGTTAAAATGTTCGACTTAAATTTACTCGACTATACTAGAGAAAATGAAGGAATTCTTATATGCAGTCTTGTATGTGATAGTTGCTACTTTATCAACGTGTCGCTTCTTACCTAAATCAGTGAGTAATTTTCCAAATCTTTTGACTTCATTATTCATCCGGGTCAATTTGTCTTGAATATCTTTTGTCTCTTGAGGATATAATGGCTGTTTTCTTGATATTGATTTTTGTAATTTTTGTTCGTAATCAATCTTTAATTCTTTTAATTTTTCGTCTTTAAGTGTTTTTAATCGGATAATCATAGACTGTATTTTATTTTTTGTACGACGGTGAATTTCTGAAATACAATCGGTCATTGACATTTTCCATGAGTCTAATTTATCACGAGTACGTTCAAGGTCTTGTTCGATATTTAATGATTCAATTAATTTAATAAGTTCAATTGTACGTTCAGTTAACAAAGGGACAGATTCCATACTTTTATCTAAAAACATAGGGAATGAATTAGAAATATAAACTAGACAGCAATCACACTACGCGAGAGTTGCGAATGCAGTGCGAAGCTCTCTGACAAAAAAAGTGAAAACTAGGAAAGTGAACGAGCTGTACATACGCATGAATCACAAAAACACTTTTACTCTAGTTGTTTGTTTTGTGCGGATTACGTATTATACGCGAAAGAAAGTTAACAAGGCTACTAAGTAGTGCCCACATGGCGCGCGTATACTAGCCACACCAATTATCTTTCTGCTATAAAATTTCTATGTCCCAAAACGTCAATCGACGACCATCTTTTAGATGTTCTAGGCAGAAAACTAAATGTCCCACGGAACTACAAAATAGGACATTCCCATATTCAGAGTCCGGTCCATATTCTCATTTTTCTTACACACTTTTCAGATCTTGAACAAACAGCGTGAGAAAATGGCACAAAAAAGCGTATTGAAAAAACACCACGTTGATTGCTAGAATGCGGTATGCTTCGCACTGCATTAAAAATATCATCATTGTCTCGTTGTCAGAGAAGAGTATTAGCTGAAAAAGAAATAAGTTATCTCATTTCCAGACTGATTAGTATTAAATGAACATTCGTACTCTGGCGTATTTAAGCTTTCAATGTTTCTATTTACTTTGTATGTTTGTATTTCTAACACTAGAATGGGATCGAGGAATTGGGCTTTCACCCTCTTATAATCATTTTAGTTCGCTTTTAAGTAAGTTAGAAATCATGCTTAATTTCAAAGTCTCATAACTTTTTGGTCCGTCTGTGTAAAGCTCCCGTTTTTCTAGCATGGCAGAGTTATTCTTCAGAGCCCGGATTTTTACCCATTTTTCTGATTTTATTTAGTAAGGAATAAAAAAAACTGTTCTTCCTACTTATAGCTTTTATGGCTTGTCTTTCACTATCTATATTTTCCATTCGTTCATATCTTAAAAAAACATTCTTGTTGTTGAAAAGAATTTTTCAAAACCCTAGCCCATCGAAGAGAGCAGTTGTCCATTCGCACAGGTCGCTAACGACCACAGTTGTATCGATAATCAAATGATGAAATCAAGATAAACGAATACCGTTGATCTTTTCAACGTTGAATTGCTTGTCGATGGATTTCAATGACTTAACTCATCATTTGTATATAATAGAGCAGATTGAAATAGTGCTTTCGTTTTTCCCATCTTAATGGGAAAGAAAGCACTATTTCAATCTGCTCTAATGTGTACACTTTACTGTGTTTAAAATTAAAACTAACCAATACATAATAATAAGGATGATACAAGATACGATCATTTTTTCATCTTATACTGGTTACGATTACCTGTAACTGCCATAACCATAACTGGCGTATCCCTAATCCCATTGTTGTGAACTAATCACCCAGGTCATTTATAAAGTCAATTCGCAGACCATTAAAACTATTAGTATATAAATATATATATATATATATATATGTGCGAAGTTACTTCGAAAAAACTTGAAACTCTCTCCTTTTTCTGTTTTTAGGACCGATACTACCAGAGATACAGAATGTATCCATAAGAATTGAAACCTTTCTCCAACGTGAAAGTTTCTAAAAAATTACCCAGTAGTGTTGGAATATTTTCTTCTGCAATTATTTTTTAGTAAAAAATTATTTTTTTTAAATTTTTCTGAAAAATCTTTACCTGATCATATCAACTCCAGCGGAAACGATAGTTCCCCATAGAGCTGCCATACACACTCGAAAATCTAAACTGTACCCCCCAAAGCAAAATTCCTGTATTAATTGCTGGTTTACTTACCAATTTTAAAGTTTACAAAAGAGCTTTTACTCACAGTAAAAGTTTTGCAGTATCACACTTTTAGCATAATCATAATACATTTTTGAAAAAAGTATGCCACTGCACCGCTTTTTAAAAGCGGTTCGATACAAGTGTAGCGTGGACATACAACAGTCACTGTTGGACTTTCCCGTTTAGCATCAGAGTGGCACATTTTAATCATGATGAATTCTAACGTTATACCTTATTGTGGTACTGCTGTATGATAAAAGCGTTGATTTTTGAGACCAAGTATGATCAAAATATGCATTTTTACTCTTTAAAAATGTAGCTCATATCATTCTTTTCTTTCTCGCATTAATCAAAGTTAGAAAGATAAAATGCATCAGTGAGCTATGTGTTAGTTTGCCTTATATAGTGATATTTTTAAGGATAATTACATGCTTTTGGTTTGCTGAGATTTAACAAATGCGCGAATCGATAGATACAATATTTTACGGATTTTTTAATAGTTGAATTTTTTTATTTTATTTATTTATTCTATTCGTTGCCTGTTTCTTATTCAAGATACAACGCTATACATCACTTTAATGCAGATGATAGTCTTAATCGGATAATGGATGATCGCGAAAAAGGTGGCTTAGTCAGTGAATTGTCACAAACTAAAAATATCTCCAGATGAACCCAAACTTAGATTTAGATATTAGAATATGTTGATAATCTTGAACTCAAAGTTGTCACAAAACTCTAGTCATCTAGTCAAAAAACTGGAGTCATCGTTTTAATTTTCATCGCTTCGCAGTGAACGATTTCCTGACTTCTCGCTTAAACTAATGGAAAACATGTTCTTCAGAATTTGTTTATCTCAAAAATAACTGACGAGGTGAGTGTACAAAGAATAGTAATGGTGCAAGTTGGAATGAATGAATGAATGAATGAATGAATGAATGAATTTTATTCACGAAAAGTGAGAGTCATCAAAGGTCATCGACCTATAAAACAATGACTCGAGCCAAACAACAACAAAAGAATCTATAAATAGAAAAAAAAGAA